GTGACATGATCCGCCTGCCCACATGCGTCTCGTGAAGGGAGCGTCGGGGTTGAAACTCGCGTCCGTGCCATCGAGCCCCAATATTCCCGGTAGTTGAGCTGGCGTAAAGTAGCATATGTGATAAGCTGGGGGGATCGGAGTGCCCTCGACAGGCTCCGCCTCCTCGAGCGTTTTGGTAGAGCTAGTCGGCCACAGATGAGGTCGGTTCAGAGTGAGAGAGAAGAGGCGGATCTGATTCGCATCCAGCAGCTGATGGCGCACGAACGTCTGTCCCTTGGAGAACTTGGACAGAAAAGCTTCAGTTATGGCCTTTGGATCCGCTGGCGGTGAGCTCAGTCTCGTCCGAGACGAGGAGAAGCTTCGCGAGGTGGTTGTTCCGAGGCGGGCACCGCTGCCCGTCGCTACCGATGCGAAGCAGCAGCGAGAACACGCGCGAAAAGGGACAGTCATTGTATCCGTCCTTCTTGAGAAAACTGAGGAAGAATGCTCGAGCTTCAATTGCCAATTAGTGATCCACACCCGTGTTGTGACAATAAGTTTGTTTTCAAGTTTGGTCAGGACTTCAGGAGTTGAGTTGCCGAAGAACGACGGATGGAGATTTCGGGTCCGGCTCCCCGCATAATGACCATCTCCGAGATCGGGCAGCGGCAGTCGGTCTCATACCCTGCGTTTCGAGACGCACGGTTCCGAGATTGGCCGGCCCTCATAATATCGGAGAAATCCTACAACCTGCAAAGGCTCGCGCAAGATATTGGAGTCCAAATCATATTAGTCGTATATGTATATGCGTTATTTACAGCCTCCCTGATCGGTTTCCCACCAAACTCATCTATTTATGTACCTCGGACGCCAGCAAATGCAAGATTCTCCAATAACAATGAGATATCGTCAGACAATCCCCTCATTACTTTCTTCACCTCTTCTCAACAAGCAGGAAATGCATGGCTATGTATGCGATGATGATGAATGCTCCTGCAAAGACGCCCAGGCCAATGACATCGTTCCACAGGGCCAGATTGTCGAACCCAAAGGCGCTGAGAATGCTGGCTCCGGGTACCTCGATGTCCAGGCCATACCGGTGGTCTTTGAGACGCAGCTTTGCAACCTCGTTTACGATTAGAGCCTCGTAGCCGTAGTGGAAGATGGATAACTGTGTCGACCGTTAGCACAACCACTACCAAGGGATCATGACCGACACTTACCATCTGCAGCCACTGTGCTGCTTTTTGGATGCTATCATGGTTGAGATTGAGGAGCAAGCCCGCAAACAACAAACTGAACAGCATCACCAAGCTACCAATCAAGTTGGCGACAGCGGGATCTTTGAACACGATACCAATCGTCAAGCAGATTGCCGCCGCAGCCAAGTTGAAGAGCACCAATATTAGTATAAAGGTGAAGAAAACGCCCCACTTCGGGAGAAGTCCAGACATTGGATAGATGATGATGCCCATGATGATAGGTGGGATGAGTCGGAGCGGTACAATGTCGAAGAGCAGCTTCGCGGCATAGTAAGTGATCGGGGAGTAGTATCCATTGGCACGTTCTCGAACGAAGATCAACCGCTCTGCGCTGAAGACGTTCAAGCTTGTCAGGCCGCTGAAACCGAACAATGCCAGCAGGAAGAAGAAGAGACCTAGTCGATTTTGGAACCCGCCAATGTCATCCGTGACGCCGTAAAAGAGCCATCCTGACAATACCGCTAGCAGAATAGCAACAGCATAGTGCGTCAGCATCAGGATAGGGTTGCGATACAGGTTCCGCCATGTCCGCCTGGATAGGATCAAAAACTGTCTTGGAAGGCTGACTCGCCGGAAGCCTTTAATCGAGCCTGTCACGGGCTCGTTCACAGCGTCTTCTCCACCGTGGCCATTTGCCGCCGATGCAGCTTGTATTGAAGCTGTGATTTCGTCATGGATCGTCTGAGCGACATCTGAGTTCTTGAAACTGGTCACCAGAATGTCGAGGTCGGTGTTGGCGTCTGGTGGTATGTCGTCAGGATCCTCCAAAAGGGGTGGCGGGTTCGACCCATCTCTCTTCGACAGGGGTAGCCAGCTCCGCATGCTGCCAGTTGCCCTTCCCATTATAGTGTCTTCATCATCAGTCTTTGGTGTTGGCGGAGTTTCGCTCCCAGAAGCTTTCTTTCGAGTAAACAATTGCCGGTCCTGCTTTTGTTTCAGGGATATCCTCCTCTTTGGTTTTATTCGAGTCGAGGGTTCGCGTGGGCTTTCCATGCTCACGTTTGAAACACTTGCAATGGACTTCACAGCCCGCGTGCTGCTGGATTCGGTTCCCGGGATGTCTCGGTCGAGCAAATCCTTCGGAACGTCCTCGAATATGGGAGAACGTGGAATACTGGCGTGCATTGTCAGGTCCACCAGATAGTCCGCGATATTGAAGCCCGGCGGACAGGAGTAACCAATATGATCAAAATATGATTGACAGCTTGAAAAGGGACCAGAGTAGACGGTTTGACCTTTGGCAAGAAGAATGAGTTGGTCGAAAAGAGCTACGATGTTGGAGCGAGGTTGATGAATGGTGAAAATGACGGTCCGGTTGTATGTTTTGGCCAATGTGACTAGACATTCAACTACGTTGAAAGCGTTGAAGGCGTCGAGTCCGCTGGTTGGCTCATCGAGGAAGAGAATACTTGGGCTTGTCACAAGCTCGCAAGCAATACCAACCCGTCGCTTTTCGCCACCGGAAATACCTCGACCATTTCCTTCCTCCGAGCCAATCACTTGGTCTTTGATGTGATAAATGCCGAGTTGCTGCATAACTTCGATAACTCGCTGCTCCTTGACAGAAATGCCCATATCAGCTGGTAGTCGTAGGAGAGCGCTGGTGGAAATGGTCTCATGGACAGTCAGAGTTGGCAAAAGGGTGTCCTCCTGGTCGACGTAGCCCACCACGTTTCGGTATTCCCCGTCGAGAATCTTCTCGCCATTGACATACATATGGCCCAAGACAGTCCCACGTTTGTTTTTGCGAGCCAGAATATCGAGAAACGTAGACTTGCCTGCGCCGGACGCACCCATGATGGCTGTGAGTTGACCTGGGTGGGCAATGCCAGAGATGCCAGAGAGGATTTCTTTTCCTTTCAGACCATAAGAGACGTTCTCAAATTGTAAAGACATCGGGGTGTGGTTGATCATCGATAGCGAGGCATCATTTTCACCATTTTCACCTAGTCGAATGGCTCCCCATCGCTTGAGCGCTGCTCTTCTCGAGAGGTACCACGATATGAGTGTGACGGCAACGACAAAGAGGGCGCAACCGGCGATGATTCCTGCAATCAAAGGGGTGTTGATCTCTTTGATAGGTCTTGTATATCCAGGCACCTCCGTCTCATACAGGCATTCGCCTGCCCGACACTGAAGTGAGATATACTCATCGCCGAATATCATAGATATCAAGTTGTTCATGGCCGGCTCTTCGAAACGACTGCCATCCTTAGAGCTACCGCCATAGGTATGCTGCGAGTAGAAGGAAGCTGGACCCTTGATCTCTTGCTCCAAGAACTCGTCGATGTTGACGGAGCCATCTTCGCCACACAAGAACCGATCTGGTATGCAAGAGCACTTTATGTTTTGACATTGATATTTTGTCGTATTGCGAACATTCGTGTCTTGATATGTGGAAGTGCAATTGTCGAGAGCACAGTAGAACGATTCCTTTTGATCCACCCAGAACTGGAAGTTGCAGGTAGCGTCTTCAGCGTTGCAGGAGAAGGTAACCTCTGGTATGCGCGGATCGATCTGGTCCAGAATGGCCTTGTTGGTAACATTGCACACCTGGTAGTTTTCGTGGACCAAAGCACCTTTTTTGTAACAAACCCCACCCTGGCCCAGTGGCATCATTGCGTTACATGCCTCATTGGAAGTGCACACGTTGCAGTTGATTCCCTCCCAGCCATCTCTGCAGTCGCACTTATCGCCTCTTCTTGGTGATCTATTCTTGCCATCGACCAGGGAACCGCACAGCGGCTCCGCGCAGTCATCTCCCCCGAAGCCAGGGGGACACACGCATTTCCCGTTGGCACTGCTGCAGCTCGCAAACTGTAGGCATTTGAATTCGTCGTAGTGGCAGTCGAAGCATCGAGGACATGGAGGGCAACCGTCGACAAGATCGAGGAAGGGATCGTGCATCAATGCCCGCGAAGTATCATTGAGATAGGCCGTCGCCAGCAATGCCGGTGCGACGAGTAATAGGGCGGCGGCAATGCCATGGAGGTTCATTGAGGATGGACTGGGCGATATCGTCCGCTGTGCAGGTGTGGAGGTGATAGATCGTGTGGCTGGTGCCTGTCAACGGAAGCTTGTCCAGTCAAGGCGGCAGAAACCTCGAGGGTAGAACGTTAGGTAGGGCGACAGTCGGTACAAGAATGATAGGAGGGACATGCGACAGAGTATGTAGGATGGGAGTCGAAAGATATCACACCATTGCAGTTCGCCGCGGGAAGGGGAGGGATCTGAACTAGAAAGGTCCAAACGTCGCAGCACAACACAAGTTGCAACAGCACGATGCACAACTGCTGGCACGTTCCTGTACGGTACGGGCGGGGACGGGAGACCTGATACCGGGGATTGGCCTTTGAGCACAGGACCAATGGGCCGAGCTTTATCCAGTTAAGGACGGGCTGTAAGCTTGCACCCAATCGTTGTAATCGTGAGCTACCGGCAGTTATTGGCACTCGTGGCATCATCCAGTCCGGGGGCTAAGACTAAGGGTACCACTAGGTACTGAGTAGTCAGCTAGTCAATTAAGGTACGAGATACGAGGTCGGGGCAAAGTGTTGGAGATGTCACATATGCACTTGGTCAAGGTGGGGAGCTGTTGACTATGTACTCGGCGGATCGGTATTTCCGCGACACCGCAGTTGGAAATGAAAAGAATTCAGTCGTACAGAGCAGTCTTTTCAGACATTTGTTCTTACGGCACCGTCATCTAATCATTCTCAATCGAGTACGCACACGGTTTGTGTCGTTCCAACAAGAAGCATGGCCGGGTTTCAGCGGCTTGAAGCCATCGAGGTAGGACTTACCAGCAGTTCGTCGAACAATGCTCTCACTGACAACGTGAACAGTGGAACGAAAAGTATCTGTCCTCAGCCAAACACGACCTTTCATCATCGGCCGCCTCAAACATCTCCTTGTCTGAACTACTTGACATCTCAGAGGACAGACCGGGTTCCGAAAAGGCCCTGAGACTGCATGAAGTAAAGCTTCAAGGGAACGATACTGGCTTGGGCAGCATTGATCTACGGAAAAACCTGGCAGCCCTCTACTCTGTGCGCTCTGCGGGGGTGACCGAACACGATATTATAATTACCAACGGAGGCACTGCTGCAGACTATACAGTATTCTCCGCGCTGCTGACCTCTGGGGATCATGTCATTTGCCAACACCCTGTTGATGAACTGCTCTATAAGATACCTGCATCTCTGGGCGTGGACGTCACTTGGTGGAACGCAGACCCAGCGAAAAAGTGGGCGGTTGATGTTGACGAGTTAAAGGCATTGATCAGGGACAATACAAAATTGATTGCGATCCAAAGTCCTTGTGACCCTACAGGTGCTATAGTGTCCAAACCCACTCTCGAGGCCCTCGTTGAATTGGCAGAGGAAAAGGGAATAACTATTCTGGCGGATGAGACCTACAGGCCTCTTTTCCACTCGATATTGCCATCCGACGATGATTTTCCACCCTCAACGATCAACCTGGGCTATAAGAAAGTCGTCGTGACAGGAGGGGTAAGTAAAGCATACGGTTTAGCAGGAATAAAAGCCGGGTGGATTGCGACGAAAGACAGAGCCATTCTCGAAGCCTGTAGGGGAACTAGGCGTCTTGAGTCCACAATTGCATCAACTTTAGATGAGGTGGTTGCTGCAGAGGCCCTGAATGAGAGGTGCATTCACGCGTTGTTAGCAAGAAACATCAGGTTATGCCAAACAAACCTGGGCCTGCTGCAAGGATTTGTCGAAGAGCACAACTGGTCATGTTCATGGGCCGAGCCACGAGCTGGAACAACAGTAATGCTCAAGTTCCACAAGATGGGAAAGCCCATCGACAGTGAGCAGTTTTGTTCAAAGTTACTCGAAGAGTCTGGGATCCTTCTCTGTCCCGCAAGCAAATGTTTCGGAGACAGTAGAGCTCTTCGCGGGTATGTGAGGGTCGCTTTCGGAGGCTCGACGCAGGAGGTGAAAGCTGCACTTGCGGCGTGGAGGTCATTCATGGAAGAAAGCTTCGACTCGGTACCGACACTGTCGACTCGGTCAAACAGCTGATCCAGGAGCGGCTCGAGGCAAAATAAAGTCCGATAAAAGCGCACCATGCACAAGTATCAGCGGGAAATCGAGTAGATCCATTCCAAGATTGAGAGTCAGAGATGCCTCATCGCGTCCGTAAAATGTAACAAGATGGGTGTGCCGAACGCCGATCTCATTGTTTTCTGACCACTTCAAACAGCATGCCACTTGAGCTCCGAAGAGAGGGCTTGCTGCCGCCTGCAGCAGAAACAAATCGTATAATACACGCTAGGCTTTCATCATCTGAGGCGTTGTTAGCATATATACTTGTCAAAGCGCGGATCAAAGGGACTCACTTGTTCAAAACTTGGAAGGATGAAGAAGGAAAAGAAAACAGAGTGCGACTCGGAGAATTTTGTGCGCAGGCGGCGGTTGGAGGTTGGCGCACACGGACCATCAGCGCAGGTTCTCCAACTCAAATCCTTCTTTTGGGATTGTCCACATCAATGGGTCTTTGAATGTGCAGCAGCAGCCGATGGAGGTCCAGAGATCGCTTACACGTTCAGCTCACCTCCGACGGAGCTACATTGAGATATCGAGATATATTCGTACTCATTTGTGGTGCGCAGGCTTCGCGTCCACCCAACGCGCCATCACCAGCCCATGTCTTTCTCAGAGACTTGCATATTCTACGTCTTCCGCCCGACGTGACCGGCAACAAGATCCAAGACTGCAGACCAGTAACGGCGATATCAGGCGATACAACTTCTCCAGTAAGACAGTGCCTCACCAGCGATTTGGCCAGCGTCTAACTCTAGCAGGGATCTCTTCTTCCAAAGGAGCCAGTCAAGCCTGGAAAAAACTATGCCAGACCGACGTCGATTCATTACCGAGTACGCCTGCTCCTGATGATGACAGCCAGAACCAAGTGCAGCTATATGGCTATATTACTTCCCACAGGCCTAGCAAGGGCTTCGATTTCATCCAACTGGTCGATCCACGCTTAGAGCTTGCCGTGCAAGTTATCTTCCCCCATTCTGTTTCCACTGCGAAGGTCGGAGCAAGTCCCTCGGTGGAAAGTCACATAGACGCCGAGGAGTCTAGTGAGGAAAGAGAATCAAGTGATGGAGAAGTCTCCGAAGGACAGTTGAGCATTTTCAGAGCCGCTCGTCCTCATACACCCATTCGGATCTCGGGGACCGTTGTGCCACGATTGAAACGGCCCAAAAAGGTACACCAGCGGGTTCCCTTGGGAGAGTCTGCAACGCCACAAAAGAAAAAGCCAGATACTACTGTCCGAACACTAGACCCCTATGTTGGACACATCGACCTCATATCTCACGTGGAAATCAGAGCAGATTCTTACAAATTTCTCAATGGAGTTCCATCTGACCTCACCGCAAAATGCGATACAGTGTTTCCGCCAGAGTCGCGACACCTTCAATTCAGAACGGACTCGGACCTCCGTCGCCGCATTCGATTACGCTCGCGCCTCGCAGGCAAGATACGAGAACATATGCTAAGCAATGATTTCGATGAGATAGAGACACCTCTTTTGTTCAAGTCCACCCCAGAAGGCGCTCGGGAATTCATTGTCCCCACGAGAAAGAAGGGCTTGGCATACGCATTACCACAAAGTCCGCAGCAATATAAACAGGTCCTCATGGCATCGGGAATCTGGAGGTACTTTCAATTTGCCAAATGTTTCCGGGATGAGGATCTGCGGGCCGACAGACAGCCCGAGTTCACCCAGCTTGATCTCGAGATGGCCTTCGCCAGTAGTGCCGACGTGATGGCTGCGGTGGAAGAGCTACTCATCCATGCAGTCTGGCCCAACGTGCCTGGAATCGCTCCTTTGCAAATGCCGTCGTCGACGGAGTTCGAGTCCGAATCGGCCGATCCGGAATATCACAACCTGGCTTTTCCACAGCTCACATATACCGCTGCGATGACTCGGTTTGGTTCGGACAAGCCTGACACCCGGCTTGGGTCTGAAATTCATCGAGTGGATCATTGGCTCTCGCCCAATGTGAAGACCATGGTAACTTCGCTTGACGATCCCGTCGTGGAAATGGTGAAAATTTGCATGCAGGGATGTGAACCAGCAGACAGCCAGAAATTTGTAACAACGTTTTTGGAAACATCGCCGAAAGCGAGCTATACGAATGACAGCGCACGAATTCCCGGAGTGGCGGTCTTTGATCCCTTGAAACCGCTGCATGGATTGGCGAGCTTTGGCCATGAAGGCGCAGCCAAAGTGGAAGAAGAATTCGATCCCGAACCGGGCGACATCCTGATTCTTTGTAGCCGCGATGGGAAGCCGTTTACTGGTGGATCTACTGCTCTAGGGGACCTGCGTCGGGACATCTATCAGCACGCCATATCCGAAGGTCTAATCCCTTCACCTTCAGGATATTCTGCACTGTGGGTAACGGATTTTCCCTTGTTTTCGCCCACAGAAGACTCCGAGCCTGGACAGGGTGGGTCTGCTGGTATCTGCTCGACGCATCATCCATTCACGGCTCCTAAGCAAAATCAGGATCTATCGGTGTCCACATTCAAGAAGGATCCATTATCCATTATCGGAGATCATTACGACCTCGTGATTAATGGAGTTGAGGTTGGTGGCGGCTCCTGTCGTATACACCGTGAATTTATGCAAGAATTCATTCTCAGGGAGGTCCTGAAGATGGAACCTGAACGTGTGCAGGATTTTGGCCATCTACTAAGGGCGTTGCGCTCTGGCTGTCCGCCGCACGCAGGGTTTGCCCTGGGATTTGACCGGCTAATGGCCATGTTGACGAACAGTGCGACTGTACGAGATGTGATCGCGTTTCCAAAGTACGCAGACGGCGAAGACAAGTTCGCTGGGGCACCCTCACCGATAACCCAAGATCAGCTTGCGACCTATCATCTTGCTGCTGCCGATGACAAGGTTGCCCATGTAACAACTCCAAAATTGTCGCGCAAGGCGTAAAGCAGGTTCCTTGAACAGTTGTACAATGTCAATGTCTATGTATCAATAGTTTGACCATCTGAAACAGTTAGCAAGTATTTTGTCATATAAATAGTGCAACACAGTCTTCACTCACCATCAGTCAATGCAAAAACCAAGGCTGAGCCCCTAAGCTGTCACGTGACCGCATTATTGTCCTCGACACGAGAATGTCGGGCCACCCTGGCATCATAAACAAAACAGACTTCTCTCCCTCGAGTGTACTACAACCACCACCCGTGTCTTTCCAGTTCTGATTACTCCAGTTTGTCAAGTCAAGTCGCATCAAATATTCACGATGGAGCAAGTCCAGGAGCTTGTCCTCAACCCTTTAAAACCCTACCTTATCCCGATCACTCACAACCTACCCGCTCCGATCAATGACCTTGCCATCAACCTCCTTGGCGAAAGCTGCCACAGCGCCCTCCTCCTTGACCTCGATTTCGCCTCCCATCCCGAATGCGTTTCCCTGGCCATATCCAAAGCCTTGGGCATTGTCATCATCACCGCGGCATCTGTCGTGAAAGTCCCCCAAATCATCAAACTCGTCAAGTCCCAATCCTCAGAGGGACTATCGTTCACAAGTTATTTGTTGGAAACGACCAGCTTCGTCATATCCCTGGCTTATAACATGCGCAATGGCTTTCCGTTCAGCACATACGGCGAGACCGCACTTATCGCCATTCAAGACGTGGTGATTAGCGTGTTGATTCTGGTCTATTCGAAGAAGAGCGCGCAGGCGGGTGCCTTTCTAGCGGCTTTCGGTAGTGCCGTGTATGCACTCATGGTCTCCGACACACTTGTCTCGAATGCACAAATGACCAGTCTGCAGGCGGGTGCTGGTGCCCTGAGCATCGCTAGCAAGCTGCCACAGATCCTCACGATCTATAGCCAGGGTGGAACAGGCCAGTTGTCTGCGTTTGCCGTCTTCAACTACTTGTTTGGCAGTCTCAGTCGAATCTACACTACAATTCAAGAAGTGGATGACAAGTTGATCTTGTACGGATTTATTGCCGGGTTTGCGTTGAACGCGGTTCTAGCAGCCCAGGTGGTCTACTATTGGAATAGTCCGACGACCGCAGGGCACGCAAAGGAGTTGACCAAGAACGGCCAGGGGGGACTCAAGGGAGTTGGACAAAAGGGGAGTGCCGCAATGGCCACTCAAGAGGCGGCTAGACTGAGTCCTGGCAAAGCCCAGGGCACTGCAAGACCGAGCAGCAGCAGCGGAAGAAGAAGAGGATGAGTAGCTTCATATGCTAAGGTGTCATCAGGCTCCCCTAGTAGCCTGGACGCAATTGAGTTGAAAGCATCTTCCCGCGCTAGTTTTCCACACGGTCAGTGATGTCTATCATCCTTAATCCTGGACATGTTGTTGAGAAACAGAGTTTTTGCGTCTACAGTGTCATTCTTTCTAGAATCAGCCGACAAATGTTATTACTCCACGCTGGCCAGAAGCACCCTTCCGCCTTTTCAGGACCTATGTTGGCTGCCCAGCATCAGTGCCGTTCGGGCCACCTGAGCCTGACGATCCTTGTACTCCGTGAACTATTCCTGCTGAAGATGCGGTCTTCGCTGATCGCCGGGTGAATCAAAGGTACTTGTACTGGAGCCACTAGAAGATATTATCGCCTTGACTTCGAAGCGAAGATGTGCAGTAACAAGATACCTATCCCTAGCTTGGATTAGAGCCCTGGCATATAGACACTTCCACCAATCAGAGCGACCAATTCGCGGAGAGGGAGAGAGCTGTCCACGCTTGGCAGAGATGCGTTGTTGGCATCGCGCATACCATCGTGGTCCATGTTTTCCTATTGGAAGGCTTTACTCGAGGTTCCAGTCTCGAATGATGGCGCAACTCGCAATTATATTAATTGCGCACTCGCGAAGTAACGTGCCCGCATGGGTTTCGCAGTCACGTGGAAAGCCTGATAGGAGCACTGTACCGAGTGCGGAGAAACATGTATGGGCTGGGCATGTTTGTGGGGTTTATCCTAGGTACCCGCTGTGGTTATTGGTATGTGGTGATTGACACCTGCCACTGACCTCCCTCTCTACTCGACGTGTCTGAAATCCGAAAGTTGAGCCTGCAGGCTTCCTGCGTCCCTGGTCAGTCGAAAATTCTTGAACTCAACAGTCCATACCCTTGTCAAAGAGTCCCTCGACCGAACATTTTGTTGCCGATGGGTGTTCGCAGCATGTGCACCCGTGACGATGCAGACGACCGCATCAGTGCATCGCGTAGGCTGCGTCCAATGCATGAGAATCCTTCTTCCTGCTGATGGTTTGTGCCTAGTCTATTCCGGCCTGCAATCGCTGTCGGACGCGGAAAACACGCTGTGACACGGGTCGTCCACGCTGCGCCCCATGCGTCCGCTCAGAGTCTCCCTGCTTCTACTTCGACCCAGGTGCGAAAGCCAATGTTCCTCGACAATTTATCTGTGACCTAGAATCTCAGTTGGAGCAACTTCAACTTGAACACGACAGACTGCTTGCGGACGATTCAGTTCATGTCAGAGATGCAGAAAGCCTCCATTCGAAGACCTCCCATGACGGTGAAGGTTCGCCTGCTGAAGCGGCACAGCGCAGTCGTGCCGTCTATCCCACCTTGGGAACCTCTAGCCAACATGCGCCTCGTGAACGTAGAATCGGAAGCATCCAAGCCGATTTGATTGATCTGGGAGGTGCTCGAGGCGAAGCACACTATCTCGGAGACTCAAGCGGGTTACACATTGCACGAGCTGTACTGGAGACTGCTCGGCAAAACGACCCAAACTTGGATGCATTCTCTGTCCATGAGAGTCCACCGCTTGCCAACGACACTTCATGTCCTACATTTAATGGGCCGGCGACTTTGCCAGGCTACGAAACCACCCAAGAACTCACACGTATATTTTTCTCTCATTTCCAGGTTCAGTATCCGATCTTGGTCGAGGAGGAATTCTTACAAGAAGTTTTGAGTCTTTCCACCAGCCGACAGACCGGTGACCCTGGTGCTTCACGCGTGAAACCCCAATTCATGCTCACAATGGTGATTGCCATTTCTCTTTCCTGTCTCTCTAGGAGTAATTCCCACACAGCTGCTCTCGCAGAGAGTTATGCTAAGAATGCACTGCTGGACCTCCCGGTAATTCTGCAAAGGAAGGACACACAAGCGTTGCAGTGTACTCTACTTTTGCTTCTCTACTCTTTGCTCACCCAGACCAAAACACCGACCTGGTATATTTCTGGACTCTGCACGAGGATGTGTGTGGACCTTGGGCTGCATAGCGAATCTTCAATCCTGTCCCAGGATCCCGACTTTCAGACTGATACAGAAGATCGAGTGATCGATACAAAGAGACGTTTGTTCTGGGTCACTTATTCCTTCGACAGGACCTTGAGCACTATTCTCGGACGCCCGTTTACTCTCCCCGAAGAGACAATCGATGTAAAGTATCCATGCTCCACCATATCAATCGGTAAACGTGAGCAGGTGGTGCACTGGCTGCGTTTGCAGAGAATTCAGAGCCAGATGGTGCTGAAACTATACGGACCGACCAAAACACATCACCAAGGTAACGAGGGTGGCCTCCATACCTGGGCCGGCGAAATATCTGCCAGCTTGGAAGACTGGCTGCAGACAAGTCGACGGCTGGAGAACGACGACCTTCAGGATTCTGACTGGTGGACTTACTGGTACTACAATACGCTCTTGTTCTTGAATCGACCATCTCCAAGCCGACATGAGTTCGACCCTAGCCAACTCGTCACTTGCCTTGCAGCGTGCAAAAATACTATCCAGCTCGCGTTCATTCGACATAACACCAAATTGACTGGCTTCACTTGGCTGGATCTCCAATATCAACTCTCAGCAGGAATCACTCTTCTGTTTGCCCTTCGGACTTGTTCGGACGTTCGTGTGGAGGCGAAGCGAGACTGGACCACAATAAAGAGCTGCTTAGTGCAATGGGAGAGTGTGCTCAATGAAATGATCAAGACGTGGCCAAAGGTCAGCCGCGCAAGGGATATTCTTGTCACTTTAGCGCAACAGACATCAGAAGTGATGGAGAGGGAGATCAGAGGTATTCCACAGTCTCGTTCACGCGGGGCAGGCTCACAACCCTCTCAAAATTTACCATCGGCAGCTATTGATACATGGTTGACATTGAACACTAGCAAATACGCGGCTGCCCAGCATAGGTCGGAAAGCGAATGGCGTGCTCCTGGAGCAGACTCGAATGGTATGCAATGCCTCCAAACTCTTCCAGAAGAGAGCTCAGGGGAGGCCATGCGTCAACAAACTTCTGCTACAAACGACGAGACTGGCAGAGCATTTGGCACTAGAAGCTCGTTCTCAGGGCTGTCAACATCAAATACCATATTTAACGCCAACAATCTTCTTGAGTCTGGTCACATGCAACCCGAAGAGTATCCATGGGACTGGCACAACTCATTGGAAATCCAGGACTCTTTCCAAGGGTTTGAGACTTTCCAGTACTTTGGAAACATTGGACGACTGCCATACGACGATATGGCCATCTTCGGTGACTTCGACCCCATGGAGCCTTCCTACATGGAGAGTGCCTTGAACTTTGAAGGCGATTTCGAGATGACATAATGACAACACCTTCCCATGTTGCGACCCTCGATATATCAGAAAAGCAGTCCCGTCTGCGTGGTACGCTATCTAGCAGACTTCACATTAGTGATCTCCGAGATCAGTTCTTGCAGCTCATTGCGCGCACCATCCCGATCTCGATCTATGTCAACAAGATGCAATCTTGTCGGAGCCGAATGACGCCAGAACTGGACAACCTCGTTGGGCATGCGCGACTCCATCTCTTGAATCGTATCCTCGCTTTGTCTAATCTGCGGCCTCATAAGCAACTCTACAGCGGCCGTGCTCAACTTTTCGAATTTTTTAGCCAGAAGACGGCCCTCCTCCCATCGGTCTGAAAGCGATCTTAACATGAAGTTGACATCTGCAACTCCGCTCCACAGATCAAGTGATTGTAGTGAAGCCACGGTGCTGGCTTGTTCATGATTGCTTCCTGGCAGGTCGTCATCTGCATCCTGAACATACCGCAATTGCCAGTAAGCATGGATGATTGCAAGGCCGGCAGTGTAGACCTTTGCTGACGCGATTTGTACATAAAAGATCTCATTTGCTTCCACCAATCCACGGTATGTCTTTGCGAAGCTGAGGGACGCATCCCACAGTTCCCGGAGGTCTTGTGGTGTCCTTTTTTGGATCGCACGACACGGCCGATAGAGGAGCATCAAACCCTGCAACCACTCGCTCCTTAGCAGAATACGAGCGTGTTCCGACATGGATATAGGGTTATCCCGAGCCCAATCCTGGAACTGCTCCAACAATTCAACCACCAACCCAGCAGGATTATGCGGTCTCTCTGACATGTACAACTTTTCATATGCAAGTGATTGGAGTTTCAGGACATGATATCTTTGCCTATATCCCAAGATTTCGTCCTCGGTAGCTTCAGAGCCGATGCTGAAATTGGGCACATCCACGTGAATGACCTTGTCAGAGATTTCACAAGGGCGACCAGTGCCGAGGGAGATTGAGCGGTCAAATGAATACATGGACCAGAACAACCGACGTCTCGTCTCCAGCACACTGGCGCTCATCTGAAGGGATGGAGCACTGGGATCCTGGTGCAACCCGAGATCGACGCAGATGCGCATACCTACCCCAACCAAGTACCAGGCATTCAGTTGTGACGGATTCAGAGTAGCATATTGAATGAGGAACAGGATTGCCTGTAATCCAGCTATTGTGTTCGGAAGGACTGCGTGCTCACGAAAGCGCAGGGCTGCCAGGAAGGCCTCAACTGCACTACGCGAGATCACAGAATCGACGTTGCGTGAGAGCGATGCTGTCGAGATAGCACAAACGACCAGGACAGTAAAATACGAATACCCGATGTTTGTTACTCTGTTCAGGCCATCTTCTGCCTCCTGGCCAGCTAGTCGGGGTGGATTTTCGACATGAAACGTGTCGTCCTGCACTGACGAGCCAGACGTGGAGTCGTCGTAGGCGAGCCTGAAATGTGTCCAGAAGCCCTGGACTGAGAAGAAGGGCAGGCGTGGATACACACGCGCGAAGTACTGGTTCGCCAACTTTCTGGCGGTTTCAACCCTTGGGAGGAGGGCGCGAATTTCGTCCAGCTGGTTCAGGTCGATGACTGAAGGCACAACGATTGACTCGGAGGCTGCCGCCAGGACGATGGTCGCCAGGTGCGGACCGTCAAGACAAGAAGGATCTGAAGATGAGGCAAGAATGGGCAAAGCCCCGATCTCGGATATGAGTCGGTCAATTTGCGACTTCTGGACCAGGCTGGGCCTGCCGCCCGGTTCAGAACCTATCGACGTCCATGTCAGTCACCAAGAACCTGATTATCATGGAAGTCTACGGGGCGACAGCATATACCAACGAACCTTGAATAGAAGCGGCCACTGACGATGGCATCAATCCGGCCGGACCATGTTGATCCTGCACCGGACCTCTTCGCAGAGCACTCTCTTGTTGCCTCGGGTTCCCGTCTTTATGGAGTGCAACCTGTAAGCGACGAATGCGGGCCTGAAGGTAGGTAGCGTAGTCACGCTCAAACCCCTGTCCATCCTCGTTTAGCGAGCAGCTGGAGGCTCGTCCATACTTGCGGCAGCCACTGCACGCAGGTAACTGCCCATCACACCGGATCTTTCGAGCTTTGCAGAACACACAGGCAGACTGCAGCTGTTTGACAGTAAGAGAAACGTGCGAAAGTGGATTGTGTGACGGGAGTGGCGATGAGCGACTGCTCGTATGGGAGTCTGCTTGCATTCTCTATGCAGCAGGTCGATCAATGTCATGAGTCAGGGGCACAGCCGATTAGGTGAGAGAAGAAGTGCCATCCATTGCGATAATCTGAGTCTCCCCTCGAGCTGAAGTTCATCGAGTTCCCGTTGGAGTTTGTGAGATGCGCTCCAATGAATCCCAATCATGTGACTTAAAACTTTCGCCGTCAACCCTGCAACCCTCAGCAATCATCTCTACCCAGTCCTGAAACTTTGCAAGCGATCGCTTCTTCTGCTTCCTCTTCTTCTTCTTGCATCCTCGGCCGCTCTCGGAGACTCGCGTGGTGACACTTGAGTACCGTGGTATCCTGCCAAGAATGTAACTGACATGGTTCCGAGGGAGACGGAACCGCCGATGCGGAACCGCCGAGCCCTTTCTCTCTACCCCTTCGTGAAGCTTGCGGCGGGAATGGACTCAGTAAGACACCAAATGGAGGTGCCTATTTATGAGAGTGGAGTTCTAGTGGACACTGGAACGCTCGGTGAAGCGGACAAGCGTGAGAGCGGAAAGAGGGAGGACATGTTGACAATATGAATATCTCGACAAACTTCGCCCCAGGCGTCAAGCCAGAACCCACGAAACAGGCTCTTACGCGTCTTGGAATATTGTCTACTTGATTCTTGCTAGGCTTTACCACGGGTAAACTTGCTTCGAGCTTGCACGCACCCCAATATGGCTCCATCACGATTGTTGCCTGAGCTGGAATTGATTCGGGAACCAGCGACTTCAAGCCGTGATTTCCGCCGAAAGGAACTCAATGCTGACTTGTGTGTATGCGGAGGCGGCCTTTCTGGTGTGTGCACCGCTGTCACAGCGGCCAGACAAGGACTTCGAGTGGTCCTACTTCAAGACAGACCGGTGTTGGGAGGAAATGCCTCGTCTGAAGTACGGCTATGGATCTTGGGGGCGACATCGCACATGTTCAACAACAATCGATATGCTCGAGAGGGTGGCCTCGTTGACGAGATCCTTACCGAGAACATGTATCGGAACCCGGAGGGTAACCCTGTTATTCTCGACAGTCTGCTCCTGGACAAGGTCATTTCAGAGCCCAACATCGAACTGTTGCTCAATAGCACATTGATAGGCTGTCAAAAGGATGGAGACAGAATTGAGCGTGCTCGGGCTTTCTCTTCGCAGACCTCCCTGGAATTCGAAGTCAAGGCCGCTCTATTTGCAGATTGTACGGGAGATGGTGCTCTTTCGTTCCTGGCTGGGGCCCCCTTCAGAATTGGCGCAGAACTAAAAGAGGAATTTGGGGAGTTGTTTGCCCCTTCTTCCGAGTATGGTCATTTGCTTGGTCACTCAATTTATTTCTACTCGAAGGACACTGGCCGACCCGTCAAGTATGTGGCTCCTTCATATGCTCTTGCGGATATCGAGAGCGAAATCCCCAGGTACAAGACCTTCACTGTCAAAGAGATGGGCTGCCAGTTATGGTGGATTGAGTATGGAGGACGGCTGGATACGGTCCACGACACGGAAAAGATCAAGTGGGAACTGTGGCGAGTTGTGTATGGGGTTTGGAACTACTTCAAGAACTCTGGGAAATTTCCACAAGCCGAGAACTTGACGCTGGAATGGGTGGGAATGATCCCAGGCAAAAGAGAGTCACGAAGGTTCATGGGCCCGTACACCATCAAGCAACAGGACATCATTGAACAACGCTATCATCCGGACGCAGTTTCTTATGGAGGATGGTCCATTGACCTGCACCCGGCGGATGGAGTCTTTTCTGAAATCGACGGCTGCACTCAGTGGCATTCAAAAGGCGTCTACCAAATCCCCCTGTCGACCATGATTTGTTCGCAGATTCCGAACCTGTTGTATGGTGGCAGGATCATTTCAGCAACCCATGTCGCATTTGGATCCACTCGAGTCATGGCAACTTCGGGGAACAACGGGAACGCTTTGGGGATGGCAGCTGCTGTTTGCCAGAAACTCGGCGTCGATCCCGTTGCACTCTTACAGAAGGACAAGATCCACTTACTGCAGCTCGAGTTGATGCGGTCGGGGCAGTATATTCCTGGCTACAAGCTGAATGACCCGATCGACTTGGTCAAAGGAGCTTGTCAGGTTACCGCATCTACGGAGTTCAAGCTGCACAAGCTTCCAGCAAATGGGCCGCAAAAGGTCCTGACGAGGAGTCTGGCTCAAATGTTGCCTCTCCCAAAGGGGCCAGTTCCGTCCTTCCGACTTACAGTCGAAGCTATCGAAGACACGAAGCTCACCGTGCAGCTGCGTGGATCCAAGAAACCATACAATTACACACCCGAGGTCATCCTCGGCGAAGAGACAATCCGCCTTACAAGTGGCAAGAATGACGTTCAAGTTGACTTCAAGGTTGAGAATCCGCACGATCAGTATGTCTTTCTCTGCTTGATGGAAAACGAGTCTGTCGCCGTGTCGACTACACTGGACAGGGTATCTGGAATGATGACTGTCGAACATGAATGCACCCAGAGTCCACCAGCGGGAATTGGGATTGACGCTTTCGAACGATGGACTCCAGTCCGTCGACCGATGGGCCACAATATCGCGCTGACAGTGACACCTCCTGTCGAAGCATGGGCAGCTGAAAATGTACGAAACGGGGTTTCTCGCCCAACCAAGAGAGCGAACTGTTGGGTTCCTGCAGGTGGACAGGGCGAGGGTGAAGCGCGGGCGTTGAGGATATATTGGGAGACACCGGTCAAAATTGGTCGACTGGTGGTAAGCTTTGACACGGATTTCGACCATGGTTAGTACATTCTGTTAGT